CACCACCACCACCACCACCACCATCACCATCATCATCAACATCACCACCATCACCATCACCACCATCGCCATCATCAACATCACCACCATCACCACCACCATCACCACCATCACCACCATTATCACCATCACCACCACCACCACAATCACCATCTCCACCATCACCACCACCATTATCACCATCACCACCATCACCACCACCACGACACCATCACCTCATCACCATCATCATCATCATCATCATCATCATTCTCACAGCATCATCATTTTCTGTAAAATGAAGGTGTTGACCAATGGCCTGTCTGGACCATCCAACACAAATGTCCTAGGATGGCCTCCATTTCTCAGCTGTAGTGGGCAGCCATTTCTGGAAGTGTTTTGAAGTTCTATCTTGGAAATTTAAGCTCCTGCCTAGGGATTGTTCTTTTCCAGATTGCACCTCCTATCTCTTTGCACTCAGAACATGTGGTACAGTGAAGAATGCTGGCTACTAACCCTGCACAAGGCTATTTTAGGGGTACCACAGGTTTTAAGACTCAAGGAGGGTCATCCAGTGGCAGAGTTGGGATTACAGTCTGGAGGTCACAGTGGCCCACATCAAGGGCACAATTTCTTGGTCAGGGTGCCCTAACTGGAAGTTTCCTTCCTTCCTTCCTTCCTTCCTTCCTTCCTTCCTTCCTTCCTTCCTTCCTTCCTTCCTTCCTTCCTTCTTCCTCCCTTCTTCCTTCCTTCCTTCCCTCCCTCCCTCCCTTCTTTCTTTTAGAGAGAGACACACACAGAATGAGAGAGAGCAGGGGAGGGGAGGGGCAGAGGGAGGGAGAGAGAGAGAGAATCTGAAGCAGGCTCTACACTCAGCATGTGAGCCCAACAGGGCTTGATCTCACAATGCTGAGATCTTGACCTGAGCTGAAATCAAGAGTCAGACACTTAACTGACTGAGCCAGGTGCCCCCTCCCCCTCTTTGGAAATTTTCACTTGAGGGTGCCCCACCTTCTGGGAAGAGGCTCAGTGCCAGCACAGGCTCCATGCCCCCATCTGGTCCTTGGGCAGGTCTAGCAGGTCTGGCCTTGGTGGCTGTGGTTGATGGGTTGATTCTGCTCGTTCCCTGAACTGCTCCTGCCACTTTCCACAGGTGGTCACAGGTGCCATGAGAGAAGAGAAGCGGTCCCAGATGGACATGGGGGATCTGTCGGAAGACGAGTGAGTGAGGCATGTGGGGGGTTCTCCTCTACTGTGGTGTCTGATGGGCCCCCGGGGCCTCACGCTGGAGGGGCAGAACCCCACTGCATGCCCTCCTCCCTTCCCCACGCGGGCAGACACCCAAGCACTGATGAGTCTGGAGGGGCTGAGAGGGGAGCGATGGGACTTAGGGAGGACCCTCACCTGGAAGTCCCACTCACCCCCCCACCAGACCCTTTCTCCCCATCCCATGAGCTGACAAATTGGCCAGAGAATGAGGCAGGAGAGGTGGGAGGCAGCAGAGAAGGGGAGAGGGAAGTGTTGCCACATGGGTGGCTCCAGCTTCTCAGTTTGGGGTTTTGCCGGGAGGGAGGACTCATCACCGGCCAGAGTCTTTGCAAAGCGGGCCCCAGGGCTGGGGTGGGAGGTACATTTGTCCTGACTACCTACACCATTTTATGGTGGAGACCGGGTAGGGCCAGCCAAGTTCCACGACATCCTCAGGCCATAAAGGGCGCTGGGAGCAAGTCACTGTGTCACCCAAGGGCCCACGGATCTATTTTTATTTTAAGCAATATAGAGAAACACTAAGAAGAAAATAGCAATTTACCCAATTATCCACTTCTCAGAATTAACTATATTAATATCTCGGCTTATTTGCTTAAGCACTTTTTAAAAGAAAAATATCTCTAGCAGATATTTAGATACAAAGTAAATTACTTTGTAAAACCAACACATGGTCCTTTCAAATAACTGAAACACACAAGCCTCTAGGTCAGCCAGGCCCCCTCTTAGCAACAGTGAGGATGGGGCAGGAGCACGTGGGCTCGGAGGCTGGACCTGGGACGCACACTACGCACACTGCACCCTTGGGAGAGGGGCTGGGGTCTCCACAGGCACATCTCCTCATCGTCCACTGTGAGCGCCTGCAGCTTTGGGGCCTCTGCTTACTTGGTGGTGTTATTAGAACCACTACCTTCCCCCAGATTTGTATGTACTGTGGGGGAGCTTCTGGGAGGACGTGTCACCCCGCCTCGGCTCACGCGGCCCCACGTTCCTGCCCATCTCTACTTACACAGGGGGTCTCTCCGGCATTGCTCTGTCACACTTCCTAATCTAGGCTGAAAGTAGGTGGGTCTTTCTTAAGCAGACCTTTATTTTTCTCATTGTTCCTTAACGGATGTGGCCATGGATTCAGCCACACTGGATGCAGCTTGGTGGCTTTGTTTTCTGCCCCAAGGGCCAGACAATTCCAAGTCCACCCACTTGGCCTCATGGTCTCAACCCCCCTGCCTGATGACTCTGCTGCCCCCAGAAAACCTGTAAGCCAGGGCCAGCACACAGATCCAAGCCTTGGCTGCTGGAGGCCGGTTGGCCAGTGGGAAGGGGGCCTGTGGAGAGCCCTCCATGTGGGCCTGGCCTTCACGCCTGCTGGGCAGTATCAGGGTGACCTCTCTGTCCCACTGCCCTGCTCAGCTGCCAGAGCTGAGGCTTCTCTGTCCAGGCTCTCCCTCACCCTATTCAGATGGTGGGTTGGGCACCCATAGGCTAGCTGTCGCTTACTCCCCAGTGGGATGCTTTGACATTGAGCTGTGGGGTCCCTGCAAAGGGAAGGGGGACAGCTGACTCGTCCCAGAGGCAGCTTTGGTTGGAAGTGGAGAACCCAGAGACCAGCCATGAGGGAAACCACAGGCTGTGGTGTTCTGGAAATGAGCAGGGCTGGGTGTGGGGACAGCAGGAGACAGCCTGGCTTTGGGGCCAAGGGGAGCAGTTTGTTCAGCTGGTCTGGGAGGTCTTTCATGTTCAAGCGGCCCCTTCTTAGGCCTCCCAGCGCAGAGCACAAAGGCACTGGGTGGGCTGGAGGAAGCTCGGGCAGCTGGTGGGAAGGCAAGCCCAGCTCTGCTCAGGAGTCTGACTGTGTGTGCAGGGCCCTGTCACCCTCTGATTGACAAATGCTGGGCCCCCTGGGCTTGATGAGGGGGCATGCCTCTGGGGTGGAGGGGTGCTGCCTGTGGCCCTGGGCTCTGAGCCCGTGTGGGGGATGCCTGTCTCTCACCTGCTCTGCCCTCCGCTTGGCCTCTAGGACCAAGACCAGCTGGGTGTGCTGCATCCCTTATTCCACCAGAAGGAAGGTGAAGGAGAGTGTGTAACGGCCTTGGAGAAGGTAGTTTGCACTGGGACTGGGCTGGAAGCCAAGGGGGCATCTGGAGGTGACAGGAAGCTGCTCTCCTGACCTCCCAGCCTCCTCAGTCCTGCAGTGACCTGGGAGGGAGGGACGGGGGTGGGGGTTGCAGACAAACAGCCCTGAGAAACACCACTCAAACCATTTCAGGGCACTGATGACCGCCCAGGTGTGAACCACTGATCCGTTGGCTAAGGGACGATGCCATCTTCTAAAAAGACACAATAAAGTGTGAACGGAAGATGTTCTCCCTCTCTGGTCTCTGTTGAGGGATGCCTATCTCTTCCTTCCATGCATCTCCTTCCCTGAAATGTAACTGGGAGAAGGGAGGTGAGCTTAGCGACGGAAGGCTGAGCCTCCCAGGTCACGTGAGCATGATGGCGGCCGTGATCACCCATCCCTACCCTTCAGATCCTATGAACACCCAGAAACAAAGTCAGATCCCATGGGGCCCTGGAGAGGGCTCTACTCTCAGCGATGGCCCACAAACTTGGCCCCAAATGCGCCATCCTTGCGGCTGCGTGTAGGAGGTCCCAGTCCCAGGGGGCTCACAAGGGTCCTGCCTTGTGATCAAGGCTCAGGAGATGGTGCTTGCAGGGTGAGGTGCAGGAGCAGAGGGCCACACAAAGGGAGCCTTGACAGGGGTTCGGAGTGTTTCTGTTCAGACAGCCGGGTCTCGGCAAACCGCCACAGGCCAACCTGTGTTCCAACCGAAGACTGAGAACACAGCACACACGCTCGTTCACTCTCATGCACACACTTGCACACACAGCGCACACTGGGCGTGGACGCATACATCTACACAACATGCACACTTGCCCACATGCTCACGCGTGCGCACATACGGCACACACACGTGTGCAGGAGGCCACGGGCTGGTGACAAGCAGCATCTCAGGGTGAGGAATATCTGGGCCCAGAAGCCAGAAGAGTCAGACAGGTGAAACCCTCAAACACCCACCATCCCTCTGCAACACTGTCCATCTGAGAACAGAGAGGCTCAGAGGCAGCTGGAAACTGTGGGCTGAGATCCAACCATGGAAACTGGCGTCCCTGGACAAGCATGCGGCCATGCTGCCATCATATGACCAGATCACAGAAGAGGCCCCTCTGCTGAGTGCTAATATGCCAGGTGCTCCGAGGTGCTATACACGGAGGCTGGGGCCGCTGCTTGTGCCCTGTCCCAGCCCCCAGACAGGCAGCCCCTGCCCCTGCCCAACCCCTAACTGCTACCACCTACTACCAAGGCACCCAGGAAGCTTCTGGAGAGACAGCTGGTCTGCCCCTTGGCCAGGACGGGAGGAGCAGACCTCCACGCCTGGGTCCCGGGGCCCTCTCCACAGAGCAGCACTGGCCAGAGTGGCTTTGCTGGTCCCTCTGTGCCCACACTCAAACACAGGCCAGGAGGGTGACTGGGCCTGGGTGGCCCTTTGCCTTCCATTCCTCTCTGTCTGTTGTCCATCCCTTGTCATGGCGTGTGGCTGCTGGCCTCTCGGGGCCTGGAAAACAGGGAGGCCCCAAGTGTGCACAGCATGGCTAGCTTGCTTGAGGCTTTTCACCAGTTTAGGGTATAAACTCTCACAAATCAGATGCATGTTGGACTTTTCATTGGGCCTCTGAACCTTAAGGTTCTGCTCCATATTGTCTGGGGGTGTCTACAGGGGAGCTGGTCCAGGGTGGGCCTTGGGGGTAACCGGAGGAGCTTGGCTTGCAGGTGTGGTGGCTTTGGTTCCGACCTCCTGCTCACACGCCAAGTCCCTGAGCTGCGGGCCGGGGTGGCCCTGGAAGCCAGAGGCTCTTGAGGGAGGGGACACACAAGGAAAGCGCCAAGCCTCCACTGGGCGTGTCAAGGCTTGCCAGTCCCTGCCTAGCTGTACCTCGGCCCCCGCTGAGGCCTCCATGGAGCAGGCACTGCCGGTGGGTAGGACCCTCTTCCTTGCCAGAGAAATGTACCAGCCCTGAGGGGGATGAGGGGTGAGGCAGGCTTGGAAGAGCAGGCAGCCTGGAGGAGGTTGGTCCACATGCAGCAGGAGGGCCCGTTCATTCGCCGCTGGAGAAACAGCATGCTGGAAATCAAGCGGGAAGCCCGAGTGTTCAGCCCGAGTCCTGGGCCGCCGAGCTGGCCGGGGTGCCTTCGAACCCTCTTCTTGCTGTCCCCTGCTCAGAGGCCCCCCGGTCCTCAGGGCGCCTCACCTTAGTCTGCCAGGGCCCCTGATACAGGCTCACGAGTAGCATTTTCTGTCACAAACAGGCTTGGCCAGTGGTCCCAGGTGGTGGTCCCACTTGTCTGTGGTCCCGGGCATGACCTGGTTTCCTCCTTGGCCCTGCTGGGGCTCCCCACCTACTCAGACAGCAGTAAGTGAGAGAGGCCCACAGAGCCCTCCTGGGGCAGGAACAGGACCGGCAGCATCAGGCCCACAGACGGGCTATGTGCGGCTCTTCCTGGGCCCCCAAACACCCCACAGCAATGCCTCCAGCCTATTCTTTCCAATAATGTAATTCCACCCACCCCAAATCCTACATGCATCTTCCTCGTGGGTAATATGGGAGCTAACAAAAACCATTTAATTTGTCCTCTCTTTCGTATTCCCCGTGCTAGAATTTTCATATAGTTCTCTAGAGAGCTATGTATGGATAAATACAGCTTTTTTACAAGATTGGCATCACATTGCACCCCAGTTTCTTTGTTTACAAGTTTTCATTATGTCACAAGCGTTTTCCCCCATGTCCTCTGTGAGTGTTTGTTGAACACCTACCACATGACAAACCCTCCACCTCTTGGAGCTTCCATTCCAGTGGGGGAGACGGATAGTGGGCATCCAGTGAACCCGTAGTTCCACAGAAACGAACCTCATCACTTTGAGAAGAGACCTCCGTGGGCTGCACCCCCAGGCCCAGGGCACCGCAGAGATAAATGCAATGTGAGAGCCCCCGGACAGCAGCGGCAACCGCAGAAAGCTCTGCGCCAAGCACAGGAAACTGTCCTGAGCAGTCTTGTAAATTTTAAGTCATTAATTCCACAACAACCTACAGGGTAGGTTCTATTCTCAGACCCATTTTGTAGCTGACGGTGTACGTGTGAAGGACCCTGGGGGACGCCGGTCACCGGCTGCTGCCCTCAGCGAGCACCTCGCCCAAGCGCCGACCTGAATATGCTGTTCGGGCTGCGGCGGCTGGCTTCTGGTCCCCTCCCGCTGCCTCCACGGACCTCGCGGGGGAAGAGGCGTCTCCTGCAGCCAGCCCCGGACCTTGCAAGCCGCGCCCTGAGCACCGCAGAGGCGCTTGTCCAGTGCGCCCCCTGGTGGCAGGCCTGGTGCGGCGCATCACCGCCTCTGTTCTTCGGCGGGGAGGTCACCACCGCTGTCCAAGAGGAGGCGATGGCGAGTCGCTTCATCAGTATCAGGGGATTTTAATTCTGGCTATTCACTAAAGGGGAGGCTGGAATGTGAATGCGCTGTTGACCACCAGTTCGTGGGCAGGACGGGGGGCTTGACCCAGACCGTGTGTGCCCTGTGCATCTCCGCTCCTCCAATTTAGGGCTCGGAACTTACACCCGCAGCCCAGAAGTCTGGGCTGCAGCGCTGGCCCTCCCTGCCTTCTGACCTCATGACCCATGACCCCACGAGCTCTGTAGAACAGACAGGCAGACAGACCTCCTTGGCACCTCTATTTAGAGCATCCTGGGTACCTCCCAGGGCTGGACAATTCTTGGTTCATGTGGAAGCTCACCCCTAAATAAGTCCTTCCCACAATGACCTCCACAAAATTAACGGTGAAACTCCATCAAACTGTGGCCATCCTGAGGCCCTTGGTGAGCCTGCTGTCACAGATGCCCCTGTCCCCAGCAATGTGGGGGCATGAGGGCCTGCCTTGGAGGATAGGAGCTGAGTAAGGACGGCCTGGCCATTGCATGGGGGTCTGGGGGGCCTTGGGAGGGGAGGAGCTTACCAGGGCTAGAGGACCACCAGTGCAAGGAGCCGTGAGTGTCGTCTGGGAGCAGCCCAAGCCTGGGCAGAGGGAAAGGCGCTCCTGCCTGCAGCCCTCTCCTCTGCCCTGTGGCCTCCTGCCCCAGAATGCAGCCTGCCTGAGAATCCCACCCAGGTGCCCTGGGAGAAGGGGCGAGGGCAGCCCTGGGGGCAGGAGAGCGGGAGAACCCTGTGCGAGAGGATGGGGGCGCAAGCCCTAATTAGGGCTGGCTAGACTTCCCCACGGTCTCCCCTCCACTTGTTTTCAAGGGGCAGGTTTTCTGGGAAGTACCATGTACACAAAGCAGGAGGTTCTCAGTCTGGCAACTCCCTTTGGGTCACACCGGGCTTAACTGGGCCCAGCACCTGGCCACGCTGGGACAGTCTGTGGGAAAGCTATTTCTGGTTCTGACCAACATGACCTCCGCTGGGAGCCGGGGAGTGTGTCTTCTGGGCCGCAGGGTTAGATGGATTCCATTCTGACAAAGCAGTGAGTCCAGGAGGGGGTGGGCGATCCCATTCTACAGATGAAAAAACTAAGGTGCACAGGTTCCAAGGGTGCTGGGGCTCAGTGCTCATTCTGCCCCCACAGAGCCAGGAACCCTGGCCCATGTCAACCAGTCCCCCATCTCTGTGGCGACCCGGCCCAAGCAGGCTCCTCACAATGCTCTCACGGGGTTCCTTCAAACACCCCACTGACGCCCCCCCCCCCCCCGCTGCTTCCTCTGACCCTGCAGCTGGTGGATCCCTGGGGAGCCAGCCTTGTCCCTCCCTGGTGGGCATGC